TTATCTTTGATAGTTATATATATGTATGTATGTGTAAACACAGCATCCTCCTTTATCTTTGATAGTTATATATATGTATGTATGTGTAAACACAGCATCCTCCTTTATCTTTGATAGTTATAGATATGTATGTATGTGTAAACACAGCATCCTCCTTTATCTTTGATAGTTATAGATATGTATGTATGTGTAAACACAGCATCCTCCTTTATCTTTGATGGTTATATATATGTATGTGTGTAAACACAGCATCCTCCTTTATTTTTGATAGTTATAGATATGTATGTATGTGTTAACACAGCATCCTCCTTTATCTTTGATAGTTATAGATATGTATGTATGTGTTAACACAGCATCCCCCCTTATCTTTGATAGTTATAGATATGTATGTATGTGTTAACACAGCATCCTCCTTTATCTTTGATAGTCATAAATATGTATGTGTAAGCATAACATCTCCCTTATCTTTGATAGTTATAGATATGTATGTGTAAGAATAACATCCCCCTTATCTTTGATAGTTATAGATATGTATGTGTAAGAATAACATCCCCCTTATCTTTGATGATATTACAATACAAAGTGTGGCGCTGTTTGTTTGTAGTTGTTGCATGAATAGTTCTACTATTATTTATATTTGTCATTTTTAACATCGAAGTGGAAGAAAACGTAAACTTACAATGATATCTTTGATAAAATATTAGTTTAACTACACTAATGCTAGAAAGGGTGGCGGATGAAAGGTATCCCAAGAGGTAGGACCAACACAACGACAGAGATACGTCGTTTATCAGGTTTAAATTGTGTTCGTGAGACTTACAAGTCGAAGTGATTTAATGCTCGCCCTTTCAGCTGTAGAGGCGTTATAATGTGACGATCAATCCCACTATACGTTGATAAAAGAGTATTCCAAGAGTTGGTGATGAGTGGCGTTGACTAGCTGCCTTCCCTCTAGTCTATCACTACTAAATTAGGGACGGCTAGCGCAGATAGCCCTCGAGTAGCTAAGCTAGCTTTGCGCGAAATTCAAATCAAAACAAACAAAATTATATACATGTAATACATATATATATTCAAGACCCGCAGCAATACTTTTCTCCAACTAAAAAAAAAGAACTAAAAACCACGCAATTAGTATGTTAAGAAGAAGGGAAACTAATAAAATTTAAAATAGGAAGTATTTTTTTTCGAGAAATGCCATTTAATATGACGTCAAATAACCTCCCGAAACTATGTTATGATCTTGTAAACTATGATGAATTTACGATAGCTATTTGTCATTATGTATATATATATATATATATATATATATCACGAGCGTAAAATACGATAAAGAGACGTACACTCAGTACCAGTGGGAAAAAAAATTACTGTGGAATGAACATGACACTGTATCGTTCGGGAGTACAATGAAGTACATGTAAATATCCAAACTGTTGTTTAATAGTGTTCCTTGTAGCATTAATTAACTTTTTTTGCGAAAATTTTAATTAACTTGATCTTCAGCTTAACAGGGAGAACCGTCTTGAATTAATGACATATGTGAATCTCTACGTTCCTCCATCATCAAAGAGCTTGCCACATATAGCTTCTATTAATTAAACGTCTCTAGCCTTTGTTGCCCTTACACATTTTACGCAACGTTCGTTTCGTGCATACACGACATTGAAGCATAGTTTCCAAGCGCACTATTCTGTACACGTCTTATTCGAACTTAAATCCCCGACCCAAGTGTGTGTTATAAGCACCGGCTGAGCTATACTTTTTATTTTATCAGGTTCTGTATTTTGATTATAGATTGGATATATATTTTTTTTTATACGACACATTTTATGGATTACACATCATTTCAGTAAAATCTGGCCTTGGTAGCTTGTCTAACATCATCATATAATATCACATGAACAAAACTTGTTACAGTATTGGATTGTGTAGCCTGTAAAATCATCAGGAAAATAAGAGGGTCACGTAGTTGGACGTATGAGGATTTGATCCCTCCATCTTTATAGTATGGTGTATGCTCGTGCTCGTAAGCTGATTTAATCTGCTTTGATATTTAGTAGTCCAACCATATTCGGATATTATAAAAACAAAATACGCTGTACTTCTTATGTACAGTGCCACGCGTGTGTCAATATCGGTTTCGATGTTAGAATATTTAATGAGCTTGCGTCATAACGGTAACATGTTATCCGAAAAATAGAAACGATTCCGTTGCGCAGTAAACAAGCTCATACAAAAATCAGTTGTTGTTGTTGTTCTTTTAAATTCGAAACAAAATTTCAAAAATACAAACTTGTTGTAATTGCAGCTTGTATGCAATATAGATAGTTCGTTAGTTGAGAATATAACCGCTAATGACAAAGAACCATTTACTGTCCACTGTTGTAGACTAGTTTGTTTTTCCAACTGTTGCTGGCTTAACTTTATTTGTTGTTGTTAGTAGTTGCAGGCGAGGTTTTCTTTTTTTAAGTTAACCACTGTTATTCTAATATTTTTTGTTCTTACCTCTGTTAACTAGATGTTTCTTTTGTAAACTACTGCAAAATAGGCTTGACAATTGTTAACCGCTGCAGATAATACATTTTTTAACCACTATAGACAAAGTAGTTTCGTTAACTTCTGTAACCTATATTTTTTGTTGTTATTGTTAAACTTGTAAATGAGACTTTTGTTTTATCTTAACTGCTGGAGTCCGGCCTTATATATTGTCAACCATTGCATACAAGACTTTTCACCTACAATATACCCAAACTTATCGGGTAGATGGAGCCACAGTAGTAGAAAAAAAATAGAATTATCGTTCGAACTGGGTAAGTTAAATCTGCGCACTCAAGCGCTTCAGGAGCTAGCCAAAGATACAAAAAAAAAAATTCTCTAATAGCGAGTATTTTTTATTCCATTTTTAGGAGTAATAAGTATAAATATGTATATAATTGTTACTTGAGATTCAATATATCTGTATGTTGTGTTGAGTTAAACCTCGAAATAATACTATCTTCGTTCGGTGTGTCTACACAATTAAGAACAATATTTGCTGAGAAAATTCCTTTGGCCACTTTTTAATCATGAACTTTGTCTTGTAGCTATGTTATGACAAGCTTACCAATAACATGACTTCTCAGCTCAAATTACACAGGCCTGCGTTGGTTTTATTGTCTTGAAATTTTTACACGTTCTACAGTATTTCCTGTACGCTGAATCCGAAAATGATATCCATTTTTCTCCATCACGTACAGAATTTTAACGTCATATGTACTTTTACATAATTGAACCATTTTCATTGAAATCGGGTCACATTTTGTTATGCTTGAAATGTTGACAACCACTGGCTATAAATTTCTCTAGACCAATCGCGACATAAGAGTCTTATCGATCGTTCTAGAACCCAAACATAACAAACATAATAATAAAAAATTTCCATTATGTTAACCAAATAATAACTTGATATAAGTAAGAGTTTTTTTTTTCTCTCGAATTGTAAGAAATCCTTACGCGATAGAAAGAAAAGAATATTATTTTCGAAATCTGCGTAGCTGAATTACGGAAAAATCCGTTATTAAAACCAAAACAATTTTTATAAAGTTTAAATTCGCAGGTTTGTGTTATTATTATTATGTATATCTCTCTATTTATTACGAATGTACAAAGACTGTTGTAACCTCGCATTGTCCTCAAAAATAAATCATTGTCATTTTGGATTGAAATGTAATGTGCATCTCTACAGTTTACAATGAAATCTCTAGACAAGATCTTGGTGACAGAAGTTGGTGTGTAAGGGTTAAAACAAAGGCGTACTTGTTTCATTGCCAAGCCTAACGTATAGTTTAAAGTCCCTTCGTGTCTAAAATAATGCTTAGATTCACCATTACAGAAAAACTGTGGTGGACGAAACAAAATAAAAGATGGACGGAAGAGGACATGTGAACGTTTACCACATAGACATGCCCGGCATGACCAGGTGGTTAGGACGCTTAACTCGCAATCTGAGGGTCGCGGGTTCGAATCCCCGTGACACCAAACATGCTCGCCTTTTCAGCCGTGGGGGTGTTATAATGTACGCTCAATCCCACTATTTGTTGGTCAAAGAGTAGCCCAAAAGTTTGTGGTGGGTGGTGACGACTAATTGTCTTCCCTCTAGTCTTTCACCGCCAAATTAGGGACGGCTAGCACAGATAGCCCTCGTGTAGTTTTGCGCGAAATACAAAACAAACCAAACCTTGTAAACTTGTTGTTCCTAAATAGCGGATCTAAACTTTATTTTGGATTACTTTACACTGTATTGTGTATTCACTCACTATTCCCCTTTTATCGTTACAAGTACGGGTTGGCAAAGAAGGTCAAACACTTTGTGGTTTATTGGTTAGGATGCCGTCTACCTGTCAAAACCGTTACTGTGACAAGTGTTAACGTTTGCCATAGACTTCTTTCGTGGAAAGCCAACTCTGAGCTTTATTGATTGCAGCGTTCTTTCCAGTGAATAGATATGTTTCACTCGAAGAATCAAATGATCTTAATCGATAAACATTGAGGGAAATAAAAAAGGGACACGTGCCTCAGCAAAAATTTTGTCTTTTTTTAGGAAATGAGATAAGAATGTTTGTTCACTTCTCTGCTTCCCTTAACGAACTTCCCTGAGAAGGATTCTACACTTATTTGTTAATGTTTGTTTGTTTGAATTTCGCGCAAAGCTACACGAGGGCTATCTGCGCTAGCCGTCCCTAATTTAGCAGTGTAAGACTAGAGGGAAGGCAGCTAGTCATCACTACCCACCGCCAACTCTTCGGCTACTCTTTTTACCAACGAATAGTGGGATTGACCGTCACATTATAACCTCCCCCAGGGCTGATAGGGCGAGCATGTTTGGTGTGATGGGGATTCGAACCCGCGACCCTCAGATTGCGAGTCGAGTGCCTTAACCACCTGGCCATGCCGGGCCTATTTGTTAATGAGCAACAGCTCTTTCGTAAGGTTGTGTATAGGTTTGATTTGTTTTGTATTTCGCGCCAAGCTGCTTCATTGCTATCTGCGCTAGCCGTCCCTAATTTAGCAGTGATGGACAAGAGGGAAGACAAATAGTCATGACCACCCACCGCCAAATCTGCTTTCTAAACACTTTTTCAAACGAATTTATACATCTTTTTGTGTGTGTGTGGGGGGGGGCAAAAATGTGTGGCTTAAACGGTCCCGTATAACGTATGGGTAACACAAAAAATACCATCAGTATTGTAATCAATTCTACTCATTACTGCTGGGGATTTCTACCTTTTTTTACATGGTAAAAATGAGTGAATTCATCTAATTTGTAATCAGTTCTTTATAGTGATTGTCGTAAAAGGCAAAAACATAAACTTATTCAATACGATGAAATATGTGGATCCCCCATACTAGTGAATGGTATACGAAAAAAAACAACCAGTAATTTAAGGGTTAAATCGTTTGTTTTCCTGCCAATATGGTACGTGGCAGCTAGAACAAAATTATCAGTTTTGATGATACTTTTAGGTCTCAGGGCTATAGGTCTTATGATGAAGATTCCTGTAAGCGACCCAGGCTGGAATCGAGCCTCGCAGATAAAGCTCATTTAGAAGAAGAGAAGAAGAAACGACAGGTAATGTTTAGGGATAATCGTGATCAGAAAATGTTTCTTATACTTCTCCATCTTTGTCGTAACTTGGCTAATTGAAGAACAAATTTAATTTTAAGAAAAAAAATGCAAGCAAATTAAACTCTTTTTATAGCAAATGTGGGTCACATTTTTTTTAAACAGATGAATGAAAGTAACAACAAGTGGACTTCGTAATAACGTCATCGTAAGGGTTTATATTTTTTTACTGTTATTTTATTTACCTTAGATGCAAAATAACATATATATATATATATATATATATTATATTGCAACTGAAATTTTACGTAGTATTAGTAATTCTCGTAAAAATTATATTACCTTCAAATACGTTTATTATGAAAGTCTACTATTCTAACGTAATATAAGACCTCGTGAGCGTGGCTACTCCTAAATCTGTGACCTACAAAAAAATATGGTCCTGTAAACTAGTGTTTTCCAAACTTAAAAATATCGGCGCTCACCTAAATAAACAAAGTTTTCATTACGCCCCACCCCTTCACATTAAAATACTTTTCGCAAATGCTTCTAGCAAAATGAGCATTCGTTTTATTTTTAATAATTCCTTTAAAAGGAAAACAAAAAATGCTTGTAAGGAATGAGTAAATGCGAGAGGAAAAAAAAAGAACTTTTAGAGCAAAGTGATAGTTTTGTTAGGTTATTATCGTCTCCAACTCTTCAGTTTCTTCTTCTTTTTTTTTCTCTCCCGCCAACCCCCCCCCCCCCCACAGCGACCAGTACGTGCCCCAAAGTTTGAAAAAACACTGTTGTAGAGAGAGATGCGTATGTTTAAAATCGGAGAAGATTAGTAAGGGTTTTTTCCTACCACTTGCAGGAATAACAAATCTATGTGGTATTCGAAATAATGATAAAGGTGTTATGTAATTATTTTGTTGTTGTTTTTTATCCTGGGGGGTTTAAATGTTCTGATAATTATATTCAACATATGGGCATAACATCGAATGTTTTAGGAACGAATTGAAGTAATAGTAGAACAACTGAAGACCTTGGGAACCCAGCAGGAGGAACTAAAAGCTAAGCTGCAGCAGAGTCGAGAACTCCAAAACTATCCAGGAGTCACACAGACTCAGCGACAGTTGGAGCAACTCTCCACCCAGCAAATGCAACTCATTAATGAACAGAGTGAACTGAACAAACAGTTGAAGCGACTGGAGAGGTAAGTCTGTGTACAGTATAGGGGTGAGAAGGAAGAAGACAATATATACTGTATGAATGTGAGAAGTAGAAACTGTACGTATTGTATGAATGTGAGGAAGTAGAAACTGTACGTATTGTATGAATGTGAGGAAGTAGACTGTGTGAATATTGTACGTATGTGAGGAAGTAGACGGTATGAATAATTTACGTATGTGAAGAAGTGGACAATATATACTGTGTGAATGTGATAAGTAGAAACTGTACGTACTGTATGAATGTGAGGAAGTACAATGTGTGAATGTTGTATGAATGTGAAGAAGTAGACGGTGTGAATATTTTACGTATGTGAAGAAGTGTACATTATATACTGTATGAATGTGATAAGTAGAAACTGTATGTATTGTATGAATGTGAGGAAGTAGAAACTGTACGTATTGTATGAATGTGAGGAAGTAGAATGTGTAAATATTGTATGAATGTGAAGAAGTAGACGGTGTGAATATTTTACGTATGTGAAGAAGTGTACATTATATACTGTATGAATATGATAAGTAGAAACTGTATGTATTGTATGAATGTGAGGGAGTAGAAACTGTACGTATTGTATGAATGTGAGGAAGTAGAATGTGTGAATACTGTATGAATGTGAATAAGTAGACGGTGTGAATATTTTACGTATGTGAAGAAATGTACATTATATACTGTATGAATGTGATAAGTAGAAACTGTACGTACTGTATGAATGTGAGGAAGTACAATGTGTGAATATTGTACGTATGTGAGGAAGTAGACGGTATGAATATTTTACGTATGTGAAGAAGTGGACATTATATACTGTATGAATGTGATGAGTATAAATTATAAACAGGGTGTCCAAGAATTTTGGAAACACTTTTGAAAAATCATACCGGGAAAACCGTTTAACATAGGGGCACGCGGTTTGTTGAACGTGCAAGAATAATATTTAAAGTTTTGTTTACAGCACGTGAACAAGTGAAAAAAACAGTCCAAAAGTGAACATCTGTGCAGCAATCCCCTGTCATTGGTCCGTTCTTGGTTGTAGAGGTAAATGTTACGGTAAACGCATTCTTTGACATGCTGCAGAATTGAGAACATTACAACATAAAGTGTTATTACAACACTGTTAAAAGTAAGAACGAATTGTGTCAACGGTTCCAAGAAACCTTCACAGAGGTTACTGGACATATTGCACGTAACTCATGCAACAAAACGTGTTTATTTGTCTTAAACTATTTTCCAGGTATGATTTTTCATAAGTGTTTCTAAAATGTTTTAGACATCCTGCATATATATATGTATAGGGTATACATCTGTTTCTTTATTTGATTACACTGAAGATAAAAATTTAAGCATACTGTATTTAAAAACTCCCCAGTGGCACAGCGGTATGCCTGCGGACTTGTACTGCTAGAAACCGGGTTTCGATACCCGTGGTGGGCAGAGCACAGATAGCCCTTTTGTGTAGCTTTGTGCTTAATAACAAACAAAACTTTTTACAATAATAAACCCTGATACTATTTTATATAAGTGATAGTACTATCGTGTTTCGAATTTTGGCAATATTGGACAACAATGTTTTTTTGTTTTTGTTTTTTTTTTGCTTTAAAATAAATGTCAAACTTATTTGCAATATTCCAAGAATATAAATAAAAACAAACCACTGACCTTTAAATACAGTGAGATAACTAACATCATTGTTTAGCATTGAAGATCGATCAACCGAAACGTTCATTGCATCGTTCTTTTTCCCCTCAGAGTAACTTTTAACCTTTTTTTTTTTATCTTCAGATGTTATCACATTATATCTACATTTGTTTATTATTCGCCTGATAGTCGGGCGGTTGTGGCTTGATGGTTATCGTGTCCGGTCTACGAATCTAATGATTCATGGTTCGCGTCCCGTTATTACGAAACCCTCTCCGTACTTTGGAGCCGTGGGTTGCTAAAAGAATGACAGTCAAATCCCACTACTCAATTAGACACGAATAGGCCAAATGTTGGCGGTGGGTGTTGTTGACTATCTGCCTTCTTTCTAGTTTCTCAGTTCGACGTTAGTGGCGGCTATGCACAGATAGTCTTTATGTAGCGTTGCGTGAAATACTTAAAAAAACAAAAGTAAAATCGTATAACCATTGCCTCAGCTCAGTTTATGAAAACTGATACAATCTTAAGGTGATTGTCGTATGAGCTTTGTTCATCAGTGTGAGCTTGTGTCGATTATGTTACTAAAATAAACATATGTTTCAATTCGTAATTTACTCCCTAAAGAATGGTCTTGGGACAGTAACAAAAGATATATGTGTACAGGTTATTATATCCCTTCATATAGATATGTTCGAGGCCCCGGCATGGACAGGTGGTTAGGATCGAAAGGTAAATCTCTGAACCGTGAAACATGGTTTTCGTTTTCTCGCATCTTTCTGTGTACTTTTGTGTTATTTAAATTTTAGCCAGACGATATTCAATGTTATCTACTCCGCTAAATATTCCAGGGTCTTTTAAAACAAGTAAATGATCACGTTCATGTAAAGATTTAAAAAAAAAATCCATGGGAAGACGCCTAGTAGAATGATTTTCGAACGTTTTTAATTTACCCCTTCTTCAGCCTCTAATAGCCAGGAATGGCCAGGTGGTTAGGGCGCTCGACTCGCAATCTGTGGGTCGCGGGTTCGAATCCCCGCCACACCAAACATGCTCACCCTTTTAGTCGTAGGGGCATTATAATGTGACTGTCAATCCCACTATTCGTTAGTAAAAGAGTAGTCCAAGAGTTGGCGGTGGGTGGTGATGACTAGCTGCCTTCCCTCTAGTCTTACACTGCTAAATTAGAGACGACTACCGCAGATAGCCCTCGTGTAGCCTTGCGCGAAATCCATAACAAACAAACAAACAAGATATGTTCGAAAGACACGAGTTCGAATTTTCCAGTTTCATTCGGGTTTGAAAATGAAAAATGGAATAGCTCTTTCACAGTGTAATTCGAATGTTTCTTAAATTGAATAATGCTTGCAATCTGCCCTGTTGTTACCGCTTATTATTCCGTTTCAATTATTGACGTACCCAGAATTAGGAATGCCGTAAGCAATTGTACGGGCAAATTGAAAGCATTATTCAATTGAGGAATAGTATAATGACACTGCGAGAGCCCTATCTCATTTTTTTATTTACGAACTTGAATAAAATAGGAACATTCAAATTTGCGTCATTCTTATCGTCGCTTTTGGAACTTTTTGGATATAAATATACACGCGTAGTAAAGAAGTTTTTTGACTGAGGTCATAAAACAGCTAGTTAATACCCAACGAACGGTTACAAACTTTTCTCTTTTGTATTATCATAAGGGAAAAAAAACCAAAAAACTGAAGCGAAATTCAAAACAAACAAACAAATCTTTCTGAAATGTTATTCTTCTGATTTTATACTGTCATAAAGTTTAGCATCAGGAAAAAAGAAAACAATAATCCGAGCCCACTCGGGTTATTGGGTTTCCATTTTACTCCTGATGAAGGAAAGTCTTCTTTCCGAAAGCGCTCGAGATATTTGATTTATTTTGGAATGTTAATTATTTTTCAGTTCATTTTACGTACTTTAGAATATCATGAGTTATAAAATTTAGAAGCGTTTGTTAACTAATGCATATTCTCCAATTAAAATACATTTAGTATTCCAATCTTAGAAATCAATTTCATGCGTGTATTTTGTAACTTGCGGTTTTTAAACTCTACGAAACAGATATATCGCACGTCCACAAAACGTCATATAGCGCCATCTATTGACACTATCGTACCGTAGCAACATGTATGGGAGTACAGTGATACAGTGACGCATACTGAGTTTGTGTGTTTGTTTAGCCACATTAGACTATCTGCTGTGTCGACCGCAGGAAATCGAACCCCGGATCTTTAGCGTTGTAAGTGCGTAGACTTATCTCCGTTCGTACGGGGGGGATCGCATATTGTACATCAGCAAAAAGTACCTCTCTTTCTAAGAGATG